ACTGTACTTTCAAATGTTGAAAAAACGTAGATCTACATTTGGACAGTTTAAGGGTTAAAGTGATGATGTGCACTCTAACAATTAAGCAAGTGTTGATGTTTTAATGGTTCAGATACCACCCAAATATGCTCTTCCCAAACTTATGGGTATGTCTCTTTGAAAAAGGATTAGATATACTGATAGTGCTTCTCCCAGTTTCCAGTTTCAACCATCTATTTCTCAATAATTAGTGGATAATAATCTTCAATGCTATTTAGACTCCTACAACCTTAGTTGTAGGAGTCTAAATAGCATTGAAGATGGCAAGGAAGGTACTACAATACACCTACACTATGTTTGACCATTGTAGCATGACACTATACATTATCAAGCTCTAGGAAGGGAGAAATTCATCCCCATACTTAGCCCCTACAGAATCTTTCTTATTGGACTCTGGTTTAACACCAGACACACAGTTCAAGTCTAAGTATGTTTGCAATGATCATAAACAGAGAAATGAGCCCAAGTCAATTCCTATCTAGGGCCTGTATGAGCTGTCCTCTACATAAATTGACCCTGATGTACGTATCTAGCAATTTCCTTATTAAATATTGCCCATGTCACATTTTGATTTGTCATATCTCAGGGTTCTGTGTTTAAATTATCCTCCTTAAAGCTTTCCTCTACCTAGTGATAGGATCTCTAAGTAGTTTATGGAGCCTGAACAGAGAATATGTTTTGAAGTGCAAATATTTTCTTTAATAGGTTCCCTGAGCCAGTGTCTGCTGCCTCCCTATATCAGCTATTACTCAATGAGTTATACAAAGCAGTGTATTAGGTCTGCAGAGAGTAGAGTGCAGGTACTTAGAATTCAAACAGATCAGTTACTGCAGAAAATGTAATCTAACAGTCTTCTGTTGTTAGTGCTATAGAGATTATATCAACAGGTTGCAAATTTCTATAAGGGATTCACAGAACCCTTTGCTGATAAGTGTTTCATACTACAAAACAGTATACTGTATACACACACACAATACTCAACTGTATACCATATATAAATCATATATGGAAATTATATACAATACATAACATTACTATATGGGGTTGACTCACTGACAAACAATGGAAACTGTACACTAATGTAGCACTATTCACAACTAACCTATAATTTGGAGATGAAACTTACATGACATTTCAGTTTGCAATGGATCATTAGCAACCTGTTGTAACTTGGCAATGGCCCAGGATGGACCAAATATTATTTAAGTTTCCTCTCCAAATCAGAGGTTAATTTGGAAGTATTCAGCCATGGTATTGTGACTTTTATTCCTCACTATAGCACTGCTGTTGTGTTCTAGTGACAATCTTTGTGTATGATATGAATGAACAGTTTCATGACAGTGAATTATAACTTCGAAAATACAAATGGTGCATCATACCTTGAAATATAATGATGCTGCACACCTAGATATTTAAAAAGTGAGCCGAAAAATAGATCAAATCTGTTTTAAATCATTCATGATTTATTTTCAGTCACATCACTTGGAAGTCTTGATAAAATTAGATATATTAGGGCTGTAATTTATGATGTTCCATGTTTGCAATGTGGTACTATGGAACCAATTAATTACTTACAAGTAACTCACTTTTCCAATGGCAGGACTACTTACAAAGGCAGTGGTACTGCTGATGACTGGTAGCCGATTTAAAAAAAAAAAAAAAAATCCAGGTTAGTGGTAATTTACCAAATGCAGTTGCATTTTCTGCACGTTCATTTCATGCTTGTACGAAGAGCTCAGATTTGTTTGGTAGATACTGATCAAGAAGCATGGAATTAATACTGTATTTACAATTTTCTTAAGGGTGTATTATAAATATTACTTTTCTTGGTTAGTTTTGAACCACATAAATTCATACTTTGTGTATGCTTATTTTGTGCATGAATAAAGAGCTCACACTGTTTGGCAGAGATTGGTCAAAAGTGAGTGAGGTATGAGCTTCACAACAACTCACACTGGCTACTTCCTTTCCACACTACATACTCACCCACCCTCTCCCTCATCCACCCTCACCCTGCTTACTGTCCCTACATACATGTACTGTACAGAACTGTATTGTAGCTGTGCTTAGTTTAACATGAATACATTAAATAAACAATGGTTAATACTATTTGTGAGTGAAAAAGAACAGTACTGTATGTAAAATATTGAGTAAAAGCTCTGAAAAAAATTAAGTGAGAATAGATACTTAATATTATGGCTCAGGAACTGCTCTCCAATTTCTTTTTCCAACAAAACAGCTGTATCCCACCAAGGCAGGGTGGCCCAAAAGAAAATACTAAAGTTTCTCCTTTTAGATTTAGTAACATAGTGGTACCTCGAATTTCGGCCTTAATTCGTTCCAGAAGGCTGTTCAAGTGCTGTTACTGAATGAATTTGTTCCCATAAGGAATAATGTAAATTAGATTATTCCATTTCAGACCCCCAAAAATACACTTACAAAAGCATTTACAAAAGTACATAAACATAATTGTTCAAGTTGGGAGCTGTTCAAAATTTGAGGTACCTGGAGTTTACCTGGAGAGAGTTCCGGAGGTCAACGCCCCCGCGGCCCGGTCTGTGACCAGGCCTCCTGGTGGATCAGAGCCTGATCAACCAGGCTGTTACTGCTGGCTGCACGCAAACCAACGTACGAGCCACAGCCCGGCTGATCAGGAACTGACTTTAGGTGCTTGTCCAGTGCCAGCTTGAAGACTGCCAGGGGTCTGTTGGTAATCCCCCTTATGTGTGCTGAGAGGCAGTTGAACAGTCTCGGGCCCCTGACACTTATTGTATGGTCTCTTAATGTGCTAGTGACACCCCTGCTTTTCATTGGGGGGATGGTGCATCGTCTGCCAAGTCTTTTGCTTTCGTAGTGAGTGATTTTCGTGTGCAAGTTCGGTACTAGTCCCTCTAGGATTTTCCAGGTGTATATAATCATGTATCTCTCCCTCCTGCATTCCAGGGACTACAGGTTTAGGAACCTCAAGCGCTCCCAGTAATTGAGGTGTTTTATCTCCGTTATGCGCGCCGTGAAAGTTCTCTGTACATTTTCTAGGTCGGCAATTTCACCTGCCTTGAAAGGTGCTGTTAGTGTGCAGCAATATTCCAGCCTACATAGAACAAGTGACCTGAAGAGTGTCATCATGGGCTTGGCCTCCCTAGTTTTGAAGGTTCTCATTATCCATCCTGTCATTTTTCTAGCAGATGCGATTGATACAATGTTATGGTCCTTGAAGGTGAGATCCTCCGACATAATCACTCCCAGGTCTTTGACGTTGGTGTTTCGCTCTATTTTGTGGCCAGAATTTGTTTTGTACTCTGATGAAGATTTAATTTCCTCATGTTTACCATATCTGAGTAATTGAAATTTCTCATCGTTGAACTTCATATTGTTTTCTGCAGCCCACTGAAAGATTTGGTTGATGTCCGCCTGGAGCCTTGCAGTGTCTGCAATGGAAGACACTGTCATGCAGATTCGGGTGTCATCTGCAAAGGAAGACACGGTGCTGTGGCTGACATCCTTGTCTATGTCGGATATGAGGATGAGGAACAAGATGGGAGCGAGTACTGTGCCTTGTGAAACAGAGCTTTTCACCGTAGCTGCCTCGGACTTTACTCTGTTGACGACTACTCTCTGTGTTCTGTTAGTGAGGAAATTATAGATCCATCGTCCGACTTTTCCTGTTATTCCTTTAGCACGCATTTTGTGCGCTATTACGCCATGGTCACACTTGTCGAAGGCTTTTGCAAAGTCTGTATATATTACATCTGCATTCTTTTTGTCTTCTAGTGCATTTAGGACCTTGTCGTAGTGATCCAATAGTTGAGACAGACAGGAGCGACCTGTTCTAAACCCATGTTGCCCTGGGTTGTGTAACTGATGGGTTTCTAGATGGGTGGTGATCTTGCTTCTTAGGACCCTTTCAAAGATTTTTATGATATGGGATGTTAGTGCTATTGGTCTGTAGTTCTTTGCTGTTGCTTTTCTGCCCCCTTTGTGGAGTGGGGCTGTGTCTGTTGTTTTTAGTAACTGTGGGACAACCCCCGTGTCCATGCTCCCTCTCCATAGGATGGAAAAGGCTCGTGATAGGGGCTTCTTGCAGTTCTTGATGAACACAGAGTTCCATGAGTCTGGCCCTGGGGCAGAGTACATGGGCATGTCATTTATCGCCTGTTCGAAGTCATTTGGCGTCAGGATAACATCGGATACGCTTGTGTTAATCAAATTTTGTGGCTCTCTCATAAAAAATTCATTTTGATCTTCGACTCTCAGTCTGGTTAGCGGCTTGCTAAAAACTGAGTCATATTGGGACTTGAGTAGCTCACTCATTTCCTTGCTGTCATCTGTGTAGGACCCATCTTGTTTAAGTAGGGGCCCAATACTGGACGTTGTTCTCGATTTTGATTTGGCATAGGAGAAGAAATACTTTGGGTATATACAGGAGAAAGGGTTACTAGACCCTTGCTCCCAGTATTTTAGTTGCCTCTTAAAACACGTATGGCTTACGGAGGAAGAATTCTGTTCCACTTACCCATGGAGATGCTCTCCAATTATAACTTGTATTTCTATTGGAAAATAGGCTCAGAGTACTGAATATTTGATTTACGATAAATTTTCAGGAGAGCATTAATGTTGTAAGCTAGGGCCTATTGTCACAAAACATGCTTTTATTAATTCTATCTATATCATATCACACATACTCATAGAAGGATGGTACATGCACAAATTACAATAATTTATGAGAAATTAGTTGAAAAAATCTATCAGGGTTCTAACAAAGCAAAGTCATTATACAATGTACACTGTAAATAACAGTATAACATCAGCAATAGTAAGCAATACTTGCTAAATTGCAATGTTAAATTAGAGAATGGTAGCAAATTCCAGCTGAATCTCACGACAAGTGATTTCTTGATTAGCATGGCTTATCAACACACCAGGAAATCATCAGTTTCTTAAATGCAATGTACAGGTACTACCTTTTTATAGAGTCTTTTCTTGACAATTTGAAGAAATGAACTTGGGTCTGGCTTACTGTCAGTCTGCTCTGTCTATGTAAATCAACACAAGAAAAAAAATAAGAGTATAAAATGTTTGACGATGCATTATATTCACTCAAAACTTATGAAAACAAAGACTAATTTAATGTCTGTATTAATATTATATAACTTTTAATGCCTCAATTTAAATTACAGTAACTTTACTGAATGAGTTATTCATTAAGTACTATTCCACAAAGAAATACAGACAACTAAGAGGCTGTAATGTAATGACCACATTTCGTAAAATTTCACACAGTATTTGACTTTCATATCAGTATATTTATGGGGAAGCACAAAACCTGCTAGGGTCACAGTGCCTAGGGAATCATGTTTGAGTTGAGGAAGGGGAGAACAGCTCAAATTCCTTAAATCACCAGCATAAAGGCACATTTCCTTGAAGGGTTAGCTTTTAAGTAGCTTTTTTATGATTCACAAGCTCAAAATCTGTACAAATGTCCTGTACAGAACATACTTAACTTGTATGTTCTTATATATAAACCTATACAGAATCTCTATTTGCACATCTGTTCCCGACTGTCAAATTAATACTGACAAAGGTTCCCTCACCACTCATGTAACACATTACAACAGCAAAAATTTTAATGAAAATTTCTTTTATGTTCAGTAAATAATTATCATATATTAAAAACAGTAATAAAGAACAGAAAGGCACAATACCATGACTGGAATAATACACAAATAACCTGCACATAGGAGAGGAGCTTACGACAACATTGTGTAAAAACACTAATACAGTGGACCCTCGGTTATTGACCAGTTCTGTTATTGGCCAACTCGGTGTTTGGCCGGTTTTTCGGCGCCGGTTATCAGCCGTTAATTCGGTGATCGGCCGTTCAGCTGGGGCTGTTTGCACCTCAGTTTGGCTGTCTCTCTCAGTGACTGAGGAAGCTTCTGCTCATACATCCAAACATTTTACTTATTTCCCATTGTAGCTTGCGTTATTTTTGCAGTGCAACTGTGAAATAAGTAACCATGGCTCCAAAGAAAGTTCCTGTGGTAAAGAAAGTGAGAAACACCATGGAATTTAAGTGTGAAGTGATAGAAAAGTTTGAGAGTCGTATGAGGGTGGTGGAACTTGCCAGGGTGTATAGCAAGAATAAATCAACAATTACATCCATCCTGGCAAAGAAAGAACAAATCAAGGATGCTAATGTTGCAAAAGGAGTAACTTTTCTAACTAAACAAAGGCCACCAATAATGGAAGAGATGGAAAAGTTATTATTATTGCGGATTAAGGAAAAAGAATTAGTGGGAGACAGTGTTGTGGAGTTGATTATTTGTGAGAAGGCAAGGCGGTTGCATGAGGATCTTGCAAAGAAAATGCCTGGAACAAGTGCTGAAGTTTCTGAATTTAGGGCCAGCAAAGGATGGTTTGATAGATTTAAGAAGCGTAGTGGCATACACAGTGTTGTAAGGCATGGTGAGGCTGCAAGTTCTGACAAATGTACGGCTGAAAAATTCGTGCAGGAATTCCAGGGGTCCATAGAGGCTGAAGGATTCAAACCCCAACAAGTGTTCAATTGTGATGAAACAGGCCTGTTTTGGAAGAAAATGCCAAACAGAACCTATATTACCCAGGAGGAAAAGGCACTGCCAGGACACAAGCCTATGAAAGACAGGCTTACTCTTTTGTTGTGTGGTAATGCTAGTGGGGATTTCAAAGTGAAGCCTTTACTCGTGTATCACTCAGAATATCCCAGTGTTCAAGAAAAACAATGTCATGAAGAATAGATTGTGTGTGATGTGGAAAGCTAATCATAAGGCATGGGTCATAAGGCAAATTTTCAGAGTGGGTTAATGATGAGTTTGGCCCAAGTATGAAAAAATACCTCCTCTAAAAGAAATTGCCACTCAAGTGCCTCCTGGTACTGGACAATGCTCCTGCACATCCTCCAGACTTGGAAGACCAAGTGTTTAGGGACTTCAATTTTATAAAAGTGAAGTTCTTACCTAACACCACAGGTCATTTCTAACTTCAAAAAACTCTACACACAAGTAGTTTTTCAAAAGTGCTTTGAAGTGACCTTGGGCACTCAGTTGACCCTAAGAGAGTTCTGGAGGAATCACTTCACTATCCTCCATTGCATAAGCCTTATAGGTAAGGCTTGGGAGGGAGTGACTTCCAGGACTTTGAACTCTGCTTGGAGAAAACTGTGGCCAGATTGTGTCCAAGAGAGGGATTTTGAAGAGTTTGAGGCTGTGGACTGTTGTGGCACCGGAGAAGTCCCTGGGGTTGGAGGCGAGTGGCGAGGATGTAGAAGAGTTGGCGGAGGACCACAGGAAAGAGCTAACCACTGAAGAGCTGCAAGAGCTTCAACTTGAACAGCAACAGACTGCAGCTAAGGTACTTGCTTCAGAGGAGGAGGAAGAGGGAGTGAAGGAGGTGCCTTCTTCATTGATTAAGAACATTTGTGCAAAGTGGAATGATGTGCAAAGTTTTGTCAAGAAGTACTACCCTGACAAAGTTGAAACAAGCCATATCTGCAACATGTTTAGTGACAAAACCCTGTCCCACTTCAGGGAAATCTTAAAGAGACGCCAGAAACAGAGCACTCTGGACAGTTATTTTGCGAGACAGGGGTCCAGTGACTCAAGCTGGTCATAGTAGCATTAAAAGACAAAGAAGGGAAGTAACCCTAGAGAAGGCTTTGCTACCTAAAGTCTTTATGGAGGGGGATTCCCTTCCAAACACTAGCTCCTCCCTCTTTCCTCCTCCCTATCTTCCAGAAGCCAGCATTAGCCTTCAATAAAGGTACGTAATATTTATATAATTGTTAAAAAATTATTTTTTTTGTTAATATTTTTGTCTGGAACGGATTATTTGTATTTACACTAATTCTTATGGGAAATATTTTGGTTTTCGGCCATTTTGGTTTTCAGCCAACCTTCTGGAACGGATTACAGCCGATAACCGAGGGTCCACTGAACGAGATAATAAGTTAAGCTAGCACATTATGTATATCTTTTTATGATGAGAATGTCTGACTCGAGGCGAAGGGTGTGGTACTGGAAGGCAGTACAAGAAGAGGTAAGTGGAGGAAGAATTATTATTATAATCAAAAAGAAGCGCTAAGCCACAAGGGCTATACAGCGCTGCAGGGCAGGAAGGAAGCGAGGGCATCAGGTGGCAAAAGGGAGATGGATGAGTAATAGGTTACGGAGAACAGCGGGGCAGTGGATGGTGAAAGGGTAAAGGGCAGCAAGAGACTGAGCTAGAAAGGGCTGAGGGGAGTGCAAAAGGTATCATCATCAGAGTTTGTGGAGTAAATCAGTCATTGTCAAGAAGTCAATGAGAGAGTCAGGATTAAAGGAGGGTCCATCAGCAAGAAGGGAAGGTAAAGAGAGAGTAGTAGAACGAAGACAACGTTGGAGGTAAATTCTGCGTGCTCGTTGATAGAGAGGGCAGTCTAACAGAATGTGGCTAATCGATACTGAAACTTGACACTGCTCACAGAGAGGAACAGGAAGCCTCTCCATGAGATACCCATGAGTAAGACGAGTGTGGCCAATGCGAAGACGGGAGAGAGTGGTCTCCCAATCTCGGCACTGATGACAAGAAGACGGCCAGTAACCTATGCTCGGTTTAATAGAATGAAGTTTGTTACCAAGCAGAGTTGACCAACGTTGTTGCCAACGGGTGTGAAGGTTGGTAGCTATTGCAGCAAAATAGTCCAGAAATGGAACACCTCTATAGGAAATTGGTAGGTCATGTACTGCTGACCGCGCAGCATTGTCTGCCTGTTCATCGCCCTGTACGTCGACATGACCAGGGACCCAACAAAAAACAATATCTTTATGCATGGTAGAGATATGGCGTAGCCAAAGTTGGATACGGAGAACTAGGGGGTGAGATGTATCAAATTTTCGTATAGCCTGTAGAGCACTAAGGGAGTCTGAAACTACCACAAATGATGACACAGGCATAGATGCGATACGAATAAGTGCTGCAAGAATGGCATACAATTCAGCAGTAAAAATGCTAGCCGAAGATAGTAAATGCCCCCGCACAATGCTGTCTGGAAACACTGCTGCGAATCCGACGCCGTCTGAAGACTTAGAGCCATCTGTGTACACAGCAATGGCATGAGAATGAGAGTGGAAGTGATCAAGAAAAAGAGAGCAGGAAGCCACCGTAGGCAGTTGGGCTTTCGAGCAAGGGAGTGAGAAGGAACAGACCCGAACAGCTGGAACTTCCCACGGGGGTAGGGAAAAGTGAGATGCTACATGAACATATAAAGGTGGTAACTGAAGGGAAGACAAGAGCGAATGTAAGCGAAGAGAAATGGGACGGAGCAAACAGGGGCGGCGAATAAATAAAGAATGTCTACTAATATCGGTGACCATTCTATAAATGGAAGGATTGTGGAGATCGTGAGAGCGTACATAGTAGCGAAGGCAATGGGCATCACGGCGATCAGACAAGGATGGAACATTCGCTTCTGCATAGAGGCTCTCAACAGGGGAAGAGCGAAAAGCACCAAGGCATAACATAATCCTAGGTGATGGATGGGGTTAAGGCTAGAGAGAGTAGCAGAAGAGGCCGCTGAATAAATCTGGTCACCATAATCGAGTTTCGATAAAATGAGGGCTGAATGTAGGCGAAGCAGAGCTCGACGATCAGCTCCCCAGGAAAGATGAGCAAGGCTTTTAAGAAGGTTTAGCCGGCTGTGACAAATTGTCTTCAGAGAGGTAATGTGAGGTTTCCAGGATAACCTACGGTCAAAGAGAAGGCCAAGAAAACTGACTATCACGTTCTGGGATACGGGAGCCATAGAGATACAAAGGATGATCGGAGATGACAGAGCGTCTAGTGAAAGTAATTTGGCGAGTTTTGGTACTGGAAAATTTAAACCCATGCGTGGTGGCCCAAGTGGAAACACGGTCAACCGCATGCTGGAGAGAAACTGCAAGGAGATGACAGTCAGCGCCTGCACAAGCAATAACGAAGTCATCAACATAGAGTGATGACCAAATATTGGGTGGAAGAA